ATAATTCATTGACATGGTGTTTTTGAGCCATGCGCAAATTATTGCATGGCTAGAAGCAGGTGGAGAACATATTAGATTTTATAGTAAATTATCATGGCACTCAGTAGAGCGCATAACTTCACCAACAGTCCCCTTATGAAACCACATATAACTAGATCAGTGTTTTTATTTCTATCCGCACCAAATTGCACACACAGAGAAATATCAGTCCCCTGAACATGCTTCATTTTTTCATCAACATCCATGAAGTATTCCCTGAGAGAGCAAGGCAAATTTAAAATGTCCTATCTCAGGATGTTAACGAAATAAAGAACATTTCTGGATCCGCACTTTGATCCGCAAAATGTAATGGGTTCATCCTCGGGTCATGCTCCAACCCTCCCCAAAATAACATTGAAATCAGATGAGAAGTTTTTAACACAAACAAACTCAGATGAAGCTATAACCTCCTTGGTGGAGGCAATAAACTTTTACCACTTAATCCTTTTAGTTAATCAAAAATCAAAAAGAAAACTCTACGGCACTTTACTCTGTTTGAACTGAAATATATTATACACTGAAAGCAAAATGATACGGGCATCAATTTATTTCAAAGGGCATTAAGAGCAGAGGAGTTTTTTGAATAGAGAGAAACTGTCCACAAAATGTCTGATCTCTTTAGCAAAGGAACATTGGTGGCAAATCTAAAGTGCTATAGCTGCTGTGAATGGGAGAGTTTCTTGTGTGTGGCAGACAGAAAGCAGATGGGACTGTAGTTGAGCTGCTGAGTGATGAGAAAATTAAAACAAGCCAACTTCTTCCAGAGAGACAGACGCTGGCGTGCACAGCGACTCACTCACATAAGAACATTGACATGCACACTCAAATACACATGCACCACATATCTCATGCACACGCCTCTGGGCTAATACATGGACACGATCCTTAGGTCAACAATAATGAGTCCAGCTCCACAAACACTGTGATCTCTCAGCTGCTGGTCCAGTGTGTGTGTGTGTGTGTGTGTGTGAGAGAGAGAGAGTGAGTGAGAGGGCGAGGCTGAGCTGACGGCGAGAAGCTCCATAATAGGCAGTAATGATTGAAATCAAACCTGTGAAGTAGGTCAACCATCCATCCACACCTCCGCCCTTTAATATTTTATGACAGGTGACACTGTTGTTAATAGCCGCACAGTAACTGATGCCATTATATCTTAATATCTCTGTGACTGCCCGCTGGGCCATTTAACTGTTGGGCAAATGAGATTAGTGCAGATGCTAAACAGGCCGATGCAATAAAGCGATGTTTCATACATTCTCTCTGATTCCATTAGAGGCCTGCGGGGTGCATCATCATTTGTATGCTACAGCCTCGTTCCAGCAAAAAGTCAAACCCCATTTGGACTCACTGATCCACGTATCCATGTAAAATATATATTAGCTTTTTTCACACAAAACAGTAGAGTTGGCTGTGAGACGTCATCTCCAAATGTTCACATGGACAAACTCACCACACGTCAAAACTAATCACACAACTTATTAACAGAGCAGCAGATGCCAGGTTGGAAGCGTCTTCATCATAAACCTGAAAGTATTACTCAGTTCATTGATGAAAACATTTCCACTGGCTCCAAAATAAAGTAGTTTACATAAAAGCAATTGATTGTGACCTGTGTCTCTGTTACCTCACCATACAAATCATTTTTATATTAGATTACAACATGCGTGTGATATAATGGCCCCAAAAAACAAATAGAAACCATTATCTCGTCTGGAGCCACACACAGATAATAGCCTGCTTGTTGTTTCCAGTCCTTCGCAGCTCCGATCATTTATCTTTATCAAGCACCTGGGCACACAACCACGAGACTTTTGGTTTCCTTGGCGATAAGAAAAGCTAAATCCTGCTCCACTTATTCAGGTGGAAGTGAGTCAACAGCGCTGTTGTACAAATCGCCCCCACACCACCCATACGCTTTGTGTGAGGCCGAAACAGAAAGCAGCAGAGAGACAAATGGCAGCGTCCCGTCACTGACAAGAAGCTTTGTCTCCGCAGGCCAAACACTCCCTGGCATGAGCAGAGCCACCTATAACTGCGAAGGCTTATCTGGGAAAAACATGGTGCAGGCTCTTTATTTTTATTTTTTTAAAATGTATTATTATTTAAGATCCATTCATCCTGGAGAGCACAACTGGGAACCGTAGCTCTTTTCTAGCACCGCCAAAACCTGGGTGGTGCTAGAAAGGAGCTAGAGAAGAAGCTGCACCGGAGCAAAGTGTGGTTTCTTTATGATCTGATGACCTCCTGGTAACAGTCCAGTCTCTTGCTAGTGTCCTGCCTTGAGATAACACAGGCTCTGCTTCATGCAGAAATGATCACCAAAGCCATATCATTGGCTCCAACTCTTTAAATGTGAGGTTTTGCTGCATTTCTCAGTTTTGAACCTTCCTGAATGTTATATATTTTTGGAATCTGTAACTGTTGGTTTGACAAAACAAAGCAGTCTAAATATTGTTATGGACATTTTACTTCTTTTTATTTTTTTATTTGACATATATGCTATTTCTGAGACAAAAAAACACAACAAAACAAAAGCACATCTAAAGACACTGTAACATTTTTGAGAATAAATCTTCTCCCACAATGCTGCTCTATGAAATCCCACAATAAACTGGCCAACATCCAAACATACAGCGAGCTATAGGCGTGGTACTCGTCTCACACACAGTGCTGAGTGGACAGATGGGTGCGACACCAGCAGACCGAGGTGCTGGGACTGTAAAGTTGCACTAATATGTCGTGTACCCAGTATTTCAGTACACTGAAAGGAACAAATACAAGACTTGTGATGTCATTAAAATGATCAAACACGTGGGCTTCACTCATTTGGATGTGAACGAGATTATAGCACATTTTGACCGAGAGCTGATACACACACCCATCACAGATCCTCCAGTAAAATGACTTCCAGGAGATCTGTTTCCGCTCAAACACACAGTTCCATATCATGATCACACTGTCGTGCAAAGAGATCTGAATCCTGTTGACTCAGTCAGCACAAAATGCCAAGTCACCATGGTAACAGGGGATGCAACTGGAGGCTGATGGAGGCAGACGGCAGCTCACCACTATGGGCTTCACCGTGGGATCCTTGACAACAGTTTAAAATGCAGTGATTAAAATTTACAAACGACTCCGAATAAGCCGGATACCACCCTCATCCGATTTTGTGCACCACAACCACTGGCACAGCTCGGTCTACTACAGGTCACGTTGACGCTTCTTCACATTATGTAACTGCGTTGAATTACAGCGGTGGCGGTGACTCCAACCAGAAATCACACATGAAGTGAAGGAAAGGGTGTGAATGAACATGATGTTGCATGGTGACGTTTTATTGCGGAAACATCAGTAACAAAGTTGTGTAATGATTCACGACCCCTCTAGAATAATAGAGCCCCCCCTCCCCATCAATAACATCTGGATGTATGAACCTTAGAGCAGTGGGGATGATGTGGAAATAAACAGGCTATGATCCAGGCCACCCACAGAACGACATCTGGACACAGACACACATTCTGGGAGCTCAGCGTGGACGGACGCGCTCCTACCTGTCCGCAGGTTGAAGGAGAGTCGGGCTTCAACCAGATACGGGGTGTCGCTCTTGGAGCGGAGTCTCCTGATCGCTCTGCGGTCTGTGCTGCTGTCTGTGATGGTCGCCATCAATGTGAACCAGAGTCCAGTGAAGAGCCGCTGCTGCTGCTGCTGCTGCTGCTGAGGCTGCTGAGGCTGGACCAGTGCACGGGCACACGCAGGAACCGCGACCACTCACACGCTGGGAGGTACTGATGATGGGGGAGGAGGAAGTTCACACACACACACACACACACACACACACACACACACACACACAAATCCTATAAATTCAGAATGATATATGTAAATATGGCATGTGTATATATAGTTCTATAAATTACATAAATAAAATACATATAAATCAATACAATTTTGAATTAAAAACATGTATATATATATATATATATATATATATATATATATATATATATAGAGAGAGAGAGAGAGAGAGAGAGCAATATATATATTACATCGCTATATATATTGAAATATATTTGAATAATACATTGAAATTCAGAATTACATTTATTATATATACATGTATTACATCTTTGACTTTTTGCTTCCTAGTATTGCACAAAATGTAAAATATATCACCTAATATGTTACAGAATTAACAATATGAATAGGTAAGGGTAGTAATATTAATATGAATTGTACGCTTTTCCTATTACTGCTTTATGTAGTATATCATACATTATACAACAACAAATTACATAATACCACATTATTGGCGATAAGCAAACAAATAACAAAGACAAAAGTAAATGATGCACATGATATGGGGAGATGTAGCTTTCCACCTCAAATGGTGTTTATGATTTAATCTAGTTTACATCTCTATGGTCCCACAAGAAAAAAAGGTTTTAGTTAAAAAAAAAAAAGACAATGCTTCACTGGAAACATTTTCAGATTTATTCTGTGTATTGTTCTGACAGTGTCTCCTGAAAAACACAAACAGACTGTGATCTCTTGTGCAGCATGGTGAGCTCTTTATATTCAGTCTTTGGGTGAGTCTCAGACTCGAGGAGGATGAATGAATCATCCTGAATGAAGCCATTTACAGCAGTCTACCACCAGGGGGCTCTCTGAAACATGCATGGAGCATTGAACACAAGGCTCAACAGATACTGTAGCTTCAATTAAATCAATAATGAGATGTAAAATTAAAAAAACATTGAAGAGAAAACTACATAAATTATAAAATAATGAGTTATCATTAATGCTCTAGAGGTCAGTCATCAAATATCTTCAGTTTATTATACTGCAGATTAATTATTAATTTCCCTCTTCTTCTTCTATGATCATATCATATTATTATCATATTAATTTTAGTAGTAGTAGTATTTCTAACTCTATTTATATACAAACATTGCAGATATGTGCTCGACTCAGGATGTGACTGCTCAGCTGACGTGACAGTAAATAAACAGACTTCCTCTGACGCGTGGAGGGTTTACGACAGTGCTGCACGTGTACGGCTTCTCGTGTGAGCTGTTTTGAAACAAGTAAACAAGCAGCAGCGGTGAATTCTTCTTCTTCTTCTTCTTCTTCTTCTCAGAAACAGGAAACATCAACAAACCCGGTGAGTACTTCAAAGTCATTGAGACGAGTTCACAAACACACACGTGCTGGTTCTGGCTGCAGCGGAAGATACACAGAAGTACACGTTTGAGTGTGTGTTTAAGTTCCTGCGTCTTTTAGCTGCTTTCTTAGCGCTAACGACGTTTAGCATGATCTCGGTGTGTTTGTACGCGTTTGTTAGGAGATAAGCTACACGTGAGCTAGCTTATAAGTTGTCGGTGTGTTGTCTCCACCGTGTAACTCAGCTGCAACATGTGGGAACTCGCTGCCTGTGGAACTGGTTTTATGTTTGTTCAGCCTTGTGTGGACGCACCCGATTGTTTTATTGTGTCTTCAAATGGACTAAAACTATGTCTGAGTTGACCGTTCACATATTTGTGTCCTTATCAGTGCCAGAATCCAGGTCATCACAGTTTCAAGACTCCTGATTGCACAACTTCACCACAAGCGTTCTTACAACCTTTAATTTTCACATGTTGACTCAGTTGTGTAACTGTGTCAACACACACACACACACACACACACACACACACACACACACACACACACACGCAGCACAATATGCTGTGTCCAGACTGGGCTTGTTCCCTAGGGCTGTGTAATAAAACAACATAAATAGTCCAAAAGATCAATGTTTGTCTTTCTCTGCTCATGAAGAACGATTTAAAACCTTCACTCAGGAGCAAACATCTGTATTTACACCTAAAAGAAATAATAACAAGACATTTATTGAGATTTTGTTGATATCGACTGATATGATTTTTGTATTTTGATAAAAATCAATACTGCCCAGTCCTACTTGTTTGTATGTCTGTCTTTGTGGTCTCTGGATCACAATTGGGTTATCCCTACACTTACAACATGCCATCCTCTCTGTAATAAAGTAGTCGTTGCCGGATTCATAACCGAATCTGCTGCCAAAAAAGCAAGTCGTCCCAAACCCAACCTCTCTGAACTAAATTCTAAGGCCATTACTTGCGTTGCAACCTCAGTAGCACATGACATCACCAGCTCACTCATCAGCTTTTTTAACATAATCCCATCAGGACACAGGTATAAAGTCAATAAGGTGGAAAAGACCCACTGTGGTTAAGCCCGGATATTCCGCTGCCAACGCAGCTCTTTGCTGTGAGTCATTGTTTCATATTAACGAGATGTCCTAGATTGTAAGTGGTTGAATGTGAATGTGCAGTGGTACGAAACTGAATCTTCCCTTTGTGGTACAATAAACCAACGAAAGTTTGAGCAATACTCAGCTGCACAATTTGAGTTTGTGAAGAGACTCCAGTAAAGCCTGATGGATCATCTTCCATGTTCATATGCAGTACAGAACAAGAGCTCCACATACTCAAAATACATAAACACAAACTCAAAATGTGGGGCTGTGAAATAATGAATTTTCTTTTCTTGTGGTCCATGTTTTTCTCTCTCTGTTCTCCTGAAACAGTAACAATGCTTCTCCAAACTCGAGGCCTGTTTGCCCTCGGTCGTCGCATGTGCTCCACTCATGTGACTCAAGGACTTTTGAAAGACACAGTAAGACCCAACTCAGGTAAAATGAAATAAAAGTACTGTGCAATGAATAACGTTTCATGTCAATAAAGAACACTGTAACTCAAATTTTTGAACTATCAATTGAAATACTTCATGCTGTGCATGTTTTGTAGCATTTAGAGCGCCCCATCCCTCCTCTGAACAGGACCTATTGATTGAGTACCACTCAAGCAAAATCTACCCACTTGTTTTCCATTGCCTTATTGTACTGTCTGTTTTTCCAGATATGACTGAATTCCGCGATGTCTTTTCCAAAGCCAAGCACATAGTCATCATCACAGGGGCGGGTGTGAGTGCTGAGAGTGGAGTACCGACCTTCAGGAGAGAGAATGAGAAGTGGAGGAAATGGCAGTCTCAGGTAAAGTATTCAAAACAAGGTACTGTGATAATTATCTTTTTGGTCTTTTATGTTTTTTTAATGTTGGTCAGAGTCTTGTGTTTGGCGTGATTTCCAGCTGTGGTTCAGAACTGTTGGTGTGAAATGTACGTGTATTTTGTGTTTACATAATACATCTTAACTGCTCAGTGGATTAATCTGAGCAGCAGCAGCCACGAAAGAGAGAAATGGTGTTAGTTGCATAATTTTGATTCTTGTCGTGGGCTGCAGCAGGATTTACGCCTAGTAAAGAATCAACAGTTATTTTTAATCCAATCCTCCTTAATTGACGTTTTAAAACTAAATCAATCATTATCTAAACAAAGATTTATTTATGACAGATTGCCACAACACCAGCATTAACAGCCACATATAGATTCTTTATTTCTATTACTATTTCACATAGGTACAATTTGTATTTATTTATTCTCTCAGCCACTCCTTGCTGCCCATCTTACCCTCCTGTCGACTATTATGTGGGAAACACTGTTTGTTATCTGTCTAAATCCAAAATAAATTACACCTTTGATTGCTTCTTAGCTTTTGAGCCTTGACAGAAAACATTAAACGCTGATGCATCCTTAGGACCTGGCCACTCCAGAGGCCTTCTCTCGCACCCCGTCTCGGGTCTGGGAGTTCTACCACTACAGAAGGGAGCTGGCGTTGAACAAGAAGCCCAACGCTGCCCATCTGGCTATAGCGGAGTGTGAGGCCCGGCTGAAGAAGCAGGGACGCTCCGTGGTTGTCATCACCCAGTGCACGGATGACCTTCACCGACAGGCCGGGTCCAAACACATACTGAAGATTCATGGTGAATCTTTATTACCTCTTTTTTCAAATGAAAAAATCTGCCAATGTTTAGGAGAAAGATTTATGAATGTGTGTCATGTGGTACAGTTTAAAGAGGCTGTTGGGCCTTGGTGGAGGTATGGCTCTACTGAGGGTCGATTCTAGTTTTCTAGACGTGTGAGTGTCATTTTCTGACTAAGTGACGAAACAGCTGTGTTGTCTGTGTGTTATCGCAGGCAGCCTCATGGAGACACGCTGCGTGACTTGTGGAGATGTGACTGTAAACAAGCGTAGCCCCATATGTGCTGCCCTAAAGGATAAAGGGTAAGAGGCAGCACCTCACACACGCTGATAAACATGCAGGGTTTGAGCCTGATCCCATCAGCTTGATCCGTGTTTGCATTAACCCAGTGTGTCTGATCCCTTAATGAACAGGTCACCTGACCCAGATGTTGCTGATGCCCAGATTCCAGTGGATAAACTGCCAAGGTGGGATTCATGTCACCTGATGTTAATAATGCAAAGGGTCAGACTCACTGAGCTCTTTGTGTTGATTCTCAGCTTCAAACTGTGCATGGATTTGTTTAAAACATTAAACCATAACTTCATAATCAACAACCGGTGGGATCTTTAAATACAACTAATTGCAAGAAGATAACAACTTTCCTAGAGTTATTTTGATGTTCCTGGATTAGCTGTATGAGCCACCATCTCCACCCTCCACCTGCTCTGCTGTGAGCTTCTGTCGGACCTGCTGCTCCTTCCCGATCAGCCCTGTCCCAGCTCTCCCTCACCACCTGTTGCATTGGCTCTTAAATGTAGTTGTTATAAGCAGTGTTGTGCATCTGAAATCCTCTTAAGTTCTTTTCCATTTCTTCTTTGAAGTTCATTTAATGACATTGCATTTATATTATGTATGTAGAGCATTGGTACATCAATGAACTCTGCCTATTAAGATCTCTTTCACAGTACAGGGTCTGACTGTGTATTGAGTTGCTGCCTTGTTAAATCAGTGTGAGCACGAGTTAAATGAAGCCCAAATCCAATTTGATAGGTGCTTCCATGACCTTTTCCATTTCTGCCTTTAGTTTTCTTTTTAGTTTGTCGTTATGCTGTACTCGAGTCCCATGTTACCAATAGTGAAGTCAGAGCTTCCATGTGGGGGCACTGGTGTACTGTGAATATTTCAAATTTCCTCTCAGCTCACAAGCAATCCTAAAAAATATGGCCAAGGATTTCCACATGAACGAGGAATTGAGTTAAATTTAAAATTCGACATATTTTAAACAACAACTTAGAGTGAAGGAACACAGGCTATAACTTTGAAACATTAAGAACTAAGTGCATTGATGAAGAGCTTTGACTCTTGGATGGATCTGTGCTTCTGTATTACTCAACTGTTCTATGATCAACACAAGATGGAACGATTAATCATCTAAAGTCTGTTTGGTGTCAAGGTGTGAAGAGAGCAATTGCCTTGGTCTGCTCAGACCCAACGTGGTGTTCTTTGGAGAAACCCTGGATTCTCACATTCTGACCAAAGTGGAAAAAGAGATGGAAATCTGTGATCTCTGTCTGGTGGTGAGTTATCCTCATTTTTACATGCACTGCACACATGTCATATTCCTCTCTTGTGTAATATTATTATATAACACAATATTTTTCCAGAAAAGGTAGTACTGTACAGTAGATTTTAAATTGATGCTAGTGTCGCTGCCCTCTGTGTAGGTGGGCACATCTTCAATCGTCTACCCGGCAGCCATGTTTGGGCCCCGGGTTGCATCCAGAGGCATCCCAGTGGCAGAGTTCAACACACAAGCAACACCGAAAACCGAATACTTCACGTAAGTTGGCCAAGAAACCGAGTGCATGTTGGATTAACTAAATAATATCCTAACTTTGCATAAATAATAAATAAAACCAGACTAGTGTGATGCGTGTGTATGTTGATATTTAGCACCATCTACTGTCATCATACACCCAGGCCCCTTCAAAAATATTTTTCAACCTTAAATCAGTCGCCCACGCCAGTGCACTGTAACCTACATGAGTGACCATTTACATGTTGACCTAAAATCCTGACCTTGTTTTTCTCTCTCTCTCTCTCTCTGTGTGTGTGTGTGTGTGTGATGTGGCACAGGTACCATTTCCAGGGTCTATGCGGAGCGACACTGCCTCCAGCTTTGGCGCGACACGAGTCCGAGGTTATTTAGTGACTTTACAGACGAGCGAGTGGCTCCCCCTATAATCTAATGCAACTCAGAGCTGTGGGGTTTCACAGCATTCCTCCAAATCTTTGCCTTAAAAATAATGTTATGCTGTTAACTCTTGGTAGAGGAAGAGCTGTAAATAATTTAGCATTTTTAGAGCTTTGATATGATCTTTTTAACACTTGAATATATAGCTCGCTTAACTGGAAATGGGATTTTGACTGTTTTAAGAGTTAAGCAGAATCTATGCAGGGTGATATGAGAAAGGGAATGCACTATGTATGTAGGTCTTTCCATAGGAATACATTTCCTCAGGTATCAGAGGGTGTTGTTATATTTAACATATGAGATGCTGGTGAGAGATTGTTATATTATGCTGTTCTCTCAAATCATGCTTTTGAACGATATATTACTCCCAGTGTCAATGAGCAGCTGTACAGACCATAAAATAATCTTGTGCCTTTCAAAACTGTTTACACCACCTTGACCAAAATGCTCGCTATAGACCTCAAGTGAAAACCAACCAATGTTACAGAGACGTAGCCGAGTGCAGAGTTTGGTTTTGACAAAAAAGGAGACGGACAAGAGGAAAAACGTCTTTTACACTCCATGCCTGGATCGTGTTGTCTAATCGTGTGTTGTATGAGTAAAGTTACATGACATGGGTCGTCCATGATACTTTTTTTACACAGTCTAGTGTCCGTTTTCAAAAAATATATATGTCCAATCACAATCGAAGCTGTCTAAAAAATGAAACCAATCATAATATTTATCAACATGATCTGTTTTTTGATGACTTCTTTGCTCATAAACACTCTGTACAATTTCTTATGATGTCTTCTATTAAACCATTCAATGCAATGATACAGATTATAACAATAAAAACACTACATGCAAATTTGCTGTTTTTGTGTCATTGTTTTGGTCGAGTGACGGTGGAGTGCACGACACTGTATGTACCCAAAATGAACAGTAGAGGCCAGCATGTAGCTTTTAAAGTATTTAACTACATCCAGAGAGGGACACAGAAAACAACCCTATATACACTTCGATTTCCTGAGAATGTGCATGAGTGAGGCCATTCGTGAACTCTGCCTCAGTCATAACACGTAACACAAGGTGGTCTATGGTATATGTTATAGGGATATTGATAAATAGATTGTGTATATTGTATAATTTTAGTTTTTTAGTTAAGATAATCTCTTGAGAAACTTCATGGGTGAGCTCTTCATTCTCATTTTCATTTTAACGTCGAGGCCGAGTGCAGTTACTCAATTCTGGCTGATGATTTTGTAGATTGAAGTGACATCATCATTTGACAATAGGTCTCCAGTCGTAAGCTGTGACAGGTCAAGGATTGACTTGTTTGATTTATTGCAAGACCCAACAATCCCCTTATGAAACCACATTTAAATTCACTTGATCCAGATTTTTATTTGGATCTGCACCAAATCACACGCACTCGTTAATATCCCCTAAACATGCCTGATGTTTTTATCAAGACCCGTGAATTGTTCTCTGAGAAATCAACAAAAATGTTAAAAAACGGGATCTGCCTCCTGATGCGGATCTGCACCAACATTTAACGGGTTCTTCCCTGACCCATACAGCATCCATCACCTTCAGGTCATGATCAACAAAAGAGGGCAAATATCACAGAGGTATTTAAAAATGTCATGTAGCAGAAATATGTTTTCTTTCCTCTGCTGTTAATCATCCCATGCTCTCTTTGACTCATCGTCCAACTCCAATTTATGAAACAATGGACCATAATGTCTCCTTGAGGACAAAGCTCCAACTCTTAAAAGGTGTTTGTCTTCATTGACTGACTGGACTAACATGGTTAAGTCCTTCAGTGGAAATGAGTGAGACACAGGGCCAGGAGTCGTTCGGATTAGATGAGGAAGGTTACGTTCATTAGACAGTGTTATGATAATGTAATGATAGACATAATGGAGTTATCTCAGGAGAGCGTGTACCTGCGGACCCACACACACACATATACATATCCGTAATCTATCTTTTGCATCTCAGGGGAATAACTCAGGGTTAATTTGTTTCGTGCTCGTTGTAGTCTCAGCACTCTTGTAGATTTTTGTCCACACAGCAGCAGGACCGCAATACAAAACCACAGACATGCCGCAGTTGCTCCACATAGTTGAGAAACATGTACTGTGAAAATAACCCAACACTCTTTTCTCTCAAGTGTTATTCCGGCTCGACTGTGGCGCCGCACCACTTGCTTTCTCTGCTTGACAATTACAGTCCAAATTAAATCCTTCTGTCCTCTGCAAATTATCTCCACCTGTTGATGTACACAATCATCATCATCATCTTCGCTGTGATTAGATTTCCTCATTTCCTCTTCTCTTGCCCCTGCTTCCCTTCAAAGAGACAAAGGCCAATGCCCATTTGTCATCAGGAGAAAAAGTATAGAGAGGCACTTTAAAGAAACCTCACGTCTGATACGGTCTTTTCTGGAGCTGGGGTGAACAAGGTCGCCTGCAGCTCATTCATGAATGTAGTGTGGAGGGATGAAATAGTGGGAAGTAGAAAAGGTCTATGTCTGACCCAAAAGTCACTGGGTTAATGGAGTCATCATCATCGGTGGCAGCTCTACAGATATCCCCGTGTGTCTCTTTAAATGAGGAGGTAGATTAACTGGGAGAGGCTGTTTGTGTGTGAGTGTGCAGGTATATATTGGTTTTAATGTGTGTGTGTGTGTGTGTGTGTGTGTGTGTGTGTGTGTGTGTGTGTGTGTTTGTGTCTATGTTGTTATGTGTACTGATGTGATTTGTCTGAGTCAGACAAAAGCAGGTCAGTCTGATTGAGTCCCTGTAAATATTACACAAATAAACACTGATTTTATGATGATAATAATAATAACAATAATAATAATTTACCTTTAAAACAGCCGTAACAAGATAACAAACATCTCAGAAGTAGTTGCATACAGAAGTAAACAATGTTTTAAGAAGCAGTCTCGTTCCACAAATCACATTTCAGAGTCTGTATTTACTCATTTGATCAGGTTCGTTCATTTGATATAGTCAGCGTATTTTCTGTTACCACGGTTTAAATTCTCAAATCAATTGTAGAGCCTCCAAAAATAACAAGTAGCATTTTAAAAATTGGAACTTAAAATACACTAGTAGAAGAATGGCAGAGGCTTATGAAGGTCTCTGTATTTTCTATTTATAACTTTCAATTCATAACAGTGGAGTGGAGACTGTGGCTTTTCACACACACACACACACACACACACACACACACACACACACACACAGCCTCCAAAAATAACAAGTAGCATTTTAAAAAT